CTGTGATGGTTAATGTTAAACTTTATTTACACTCTGATGGTTAACGTCGAACTTTATTTACACTCTGATGGTTAACGTTGAACTTTATTTACACTGTGATGGTTAACGTTGAACTTTATTTACACTCTGATGGTTAACGTTGAACTTTATTTACACTGTGATGGTTAACGTTGAACTTTATTTACACTGTGATGGTTAACGTCAAACTTTATTTACACTCTGATGGTTAACGTTGAACTTTATTTACACTGTGATGGTTAACGTTCAGCGACTACGGTCCGTCACACCTCTACATGTGAGTGTTTAAAGCATCGTGTCGATGCGTCTCTGCTTCACATGAACCGGTCTCAGAGCTCCAGCCTGAAGACGGCCCTGCTCGACTACATAAAGCGCTGCCTCCCCGCAGACAGCGAGAAACACAACATGGTGGCTCTGTGCTTCAGCATGAGGAGGGAGATCGGAGAGAACCACGAGATGGCGGCCAGGACGCAGCTGAAGATCATCGAGTCTCAGGCCTGGGGTAGAGCATACATGTATATACATACATAGTATATATATACACATACTTCATCCTTCATCAGTCACACTGGTGTTCCTGTCTCTAAACAGTGGTCACTCCTGATCTGAAGAGCTCGTTGGTCAAAGCGTTGGGTCTCCTGAGGGACGCTGCAGAGAGCTTCTCCAAGGTACCTGAACGTCTCCACCTTCAACTTCAGAGGAATCAAACGCATGTGTTCTTTAAGCAATTGCCAAAACTACACCTTTTATCAAAGAAGCTGTAAAACACATAACGTCATTATCGTCAGATGTTTTCATCTTTCCGACGGTCCTTGAGCACATCATGTGTGACGAAAGTTCCGGTCAGAAAAATGATATTTCATCAAAAACAACATTTTTATCCAACATTGGTAACACTTGTGGTCACTTGTAAACATGTTGGATATATAGATTATATTAAAAAAATGAATTATCAAAGAACTTCATCTTTTTAATGACTGATGTTGTCATAACTGAGTTATTCTGCACTGAAGACGTGTTCTAGTTCTCTCTACTTCTAGTCATCATGGTTCTGTTTCCATTGAGGAGCAGCACTTTTATTTTGAAAATCCAGACCACAGAGAGCAGTGTGTGACTCTGAGAGGACTTTACCTCCGTGTGTGTTTCAGGACTCGTGTGTGCGTCAGGCGAGCCGCTGCGTCCGGACGGCCAAGCTGGTCGCTCTGCAGCTGCACTTCCTGAACCAGGAGTCGGACCTGCGGGTCGTCAACCTGAGACCTGCAGAGCTGCTGGACGCCGTCACGGCACTGCCGCGATGCTACCAGGTGGGTTTAGGTTACAGTAACTGATTTTCTTTGTCTTATTCTTCTAGATGACTGAACACATGGTTGCTTCTTATTGGATTATTTTCACAACCATTTTAATATCATGAAACTGTCTGAGGAGATTATGACTCAAACACTTAAGAAAGACTAAAACCAATTTCTGTTTCCAGTCAGCATCTCAAACTACGTTTAAACTCTTAGTGCCCTCCACACAGCAGCAGCTCTCATCCAGGCCTTCTGCCTCTCAGGTGTTCGTGGTGTCCGAGGCCTACAGCTACAGTCCGGACTGGGCCCAGATCCTGTACCAGAAGGTGATCCTGAACGGGGACTTTGTTTACCTGGAGGAGCTCAAACGCCACCGCCCGCTGACCTCCAGCCTGTTTGAGGACATCTTCCAGAAGTAAGCCGGCTCATCCATCAGAGGGTTGTGACACAAGTCTCCTCAGTAACATCTCCTGTGTGTTGTTGTTGTTGTTGTTGTTGTTGTTTCAGGCTGGACGGCGCTCCCAGCAGCGTCACTGCCAACGTGAAGCGCCTGCTGTCGCACTGTGATGACACGTACAGCCGCTACAGGCTGGCCTACCAGCACGACCTGTACGACGTCACCAAGATGCTGCTGCAGGACGCCAAGACCTCCAGCTACCTGAACGACAGGCTGGCCAGCTGACCGGCCCACGGCCCGGTTCACCAGTTGACTGATGACTGAACTACACTTATTTATATAAAGTCTTTGTCTTTGCTAAGTCTGTGAATTAAAGTAATTGAACTGTAACTGAACAGAATGTGTTTCTGCTAATAAATGACGAGACGAATGAAATAATTATTATTTATGAAATAAATCAGGGTCGGATTCTGGTGAAACCAGATGAACTCATACAGGTTCACCAGGACGTACTGCTGGACCCGCTGGAGGGAAGGGAGGCACGGCAGAACCAGGACCAGGACTGAGAGGGGCAGACTGTCAGACCTGCTGCAGTAACATGAGAGGTTTTCTAAAATGTGCTTCGTGTTTGGTGTGAACACAGCATTAGAGGACGACTCTACGTGTCCGAATGATGCTTTTATTTTGTAGAAAGTCTCGTCACTAATAGATGTTATTTAGTTCAGTAGGTGGAGAACAAAACTCTGATCAATAGTTCAACTGAAAGAGACAAAGATCCTTTGATCAACTGCTGAGTAAGAAGAAGAAATCAGCAGGTAAAAGAAACAGGAAGCTGAGATTTAAACATGAACAACTTCCTGTTTCAGTGTCAAGAGTTTCACAATAAAAGCAGGCTTCATCAAAGCTCTTCTTCAGACTTAACAACAGAAACAGAAGGTTAGTTTAGAGTTACTGTTGGAACATCAGCTGACCTAATCACAGTTTAAACCTCTAATCTATATTTACTGATCAATAATGAAACTAGTTCATCATTATTCTGTCATGTGACTGTTTGAATCATTTCATTTAAACTATTTCACAAGTTACTGAAACATCTGGTTCTGTTAGAATAACTTATTGAAGGAAAGAAGAAAAAACAGCATAATTATAAACAGCTGATTCTTAACTTTTCAACTGGGTGGAAATGAATCTACACACATTCATTCACACAATCACACTCATGTTTTATTTATGGTTTTACACAACTGTGATTCTTTTACTTTGTTACTTCCTGCTGTTTCACTTTCACCTCTACCTGTTTGGAATGAAACTCAACCTGTAGTGGTGAAGCTCCGCCCCCTCATGTGACTCATCTGGGAACAAAACAGGAAGCATGTTGCGACACACACACTGAGAGAGACGGACGATAAGATTCCCCTTCAGACCAGAAACACCACTTCCTCTGAGAGAAGGACATCTACAGGAGGAATACTGTGAGTACTGGGAATACTACCACTTCAACCAGCTGCTGAATCCACAAACTGAACAGAAGATTTACAAGAACAAAGACTCAGAGTAACGTTCAGGGAACAGGGAGTGGCTGAGCCGTCTGCCTGCTGTGTGTTCAGCTTCACTCAGAGACTAAATGGCTTCCAGATTAGAAGAAGACCTCTGCTGCCCCGTCTGTCATGAGGTCTTTACAGATCCCGTCATCCTGTCGTGTAGCCACAACTTCTGTAACGTCTGTCTGCAGAGCTGGTGGAGAGAAAAACCAACACGAGAGTGTCCTGTTTGTAAGAGAAGATCTTCAAAGTCAGAACCAGCTTTGAACCGGGCGTTGAAGAGCTGGTGTGAGGCCTTCTCATTGGAGAGTGATCAGGTAGAAGCTCTCTGCAGTCTGCACTCTGAGGAACTCAAACTCTTCTGTCTGGACCATCAGCAGCCAGTGTGTGTCGTCTGCAGAGATTCAGAAAAACACACCGACCACACAATCAGACCCATCGATGAAGTTGCTCGACAACACAAGAAGAACCTTCAGGAAACTCTGGAG